TTAGGCCGGGCATTAAGCCAAATTTCAGAAACAACAAATTCGTCATATTATGGTACACTTTTGTCTCCAACCTCTTGTCATATAATCTGTTATTTTTTATTTATTTACTTTTCCGATAGTAATATAATTGTAAAGTGTATTTGTTATGTAATTTATTTTCTAAACGTAATTACTTGCATAAATTTGTAATTTGCAATTATTCAGTTTCTATATTGTACAATTTCGACTGAATATGACCACAATGGTCGAAACATGTAGTAAACGTTGTGACAACAAGTCTAAAAACATTTATAAAATTATTGTGTTTACGGTACCCCATTTTTATGAGAAATACACGCAACAAAATGAAATATCGGAATCAAACTTTATCAAGTTCGGAGATAGTGTAATTGAGGTTTATGTGATATGCTGGTTGCATTACGACCCGCATGTCAACATTAACACATGTCAACTGTTTCAAATTACGCAGAAATCAATGCATATGATTTATTATGGCACGAAACCAAAAACTCCCTTTGCACAGTCTCAATGCATAACTTGGAGCTCATTTGATGATACAACACATGCCATCGAAATTAAAAATAAATAAATAAACACAATATAAAGCGTGACCATAAATTTAGCCTATCACATTTTCTATATAAAAAAGTAGCCTGGAATACACAAAAAGTGTTATCGAAAGCTAATCTATCAAATACACCGAGAACTTTGACTAATCGTAATTTAACAAAAATAAGACAAATGGAGATAACTTATCTGGAGGTTTAATACGACAAACATGTTCATTTACAAGTAAGTTACAGGTGTCTTATAAACCTTTTGTTCTATTTTTAATTTATGTAACCTCGTCAATAGCTCAGATTATATAACTTCGAGAGAACAGGACGATAAGAGTAGGTATAATGAATTGGAAAGACTATGGAAAGACGTATCGCAAGCATGACTTAAGTCCATTAGACTGAAGAAAACATAAGTGGAGCCGGTCTCAGGGCCGAGATTTGAACCCAGGACTTCCTAAAACGACGCAAAAGTGGTAACCATTTGACCTGGAAAACAACAGGATTGTTGACGTTCTTCTGGGTTGTAACGTCGTGTGTACTTATATGTAGAACTAATGTTTACGAGAAACATACTGCCTTTATCTTCGGGGCTTCTGAAACATTGATATCTACCTACAAGTCCACACAGCGTCACAACCCAGACGACTAGCATCGATATTGCCAACGCCATGGAAACCTGAAATCTCTGCAGCTTGGGAAATGTTCAGTCCCGCAACCAACTAAGCTAAGATATTAACAACACAGATTTCTATAAATGTTTTACGTTCTTACAACGCTGTAATGGCAATAAGCAATATTTTGAGGTTTTGATAGATATACGAGTTCTGAACTTCTCACTACACTTATTTCCTGTGTTCATTTGACCTTCTTGAGAACAAAAGTCACGGCACGTGACATCGTGTCTGAATTAATAACAACAACGTTCCTCTCAGACTTTACAACCAAAATGTTACACGCATTTCTAATGTCTTATGCGCACTACATGTCCCGCCCACCTCACACCCTTGATTTGATTATCCTAATTACATTTGGTGAAGAATACAAACTATGGACCTTCTCATTATGCAGTTGTCCCCAGTCTACTGTAACTCCATCTCATCAGATCCAAATATTCTCCTCAGTTCCGGCACGAAAATGCCAGGAAAATATTTTAAATTAGGCCACGATCACTTCCTTCAATATCCTTTCCTATTCATTGATCATCATATCATTTGACGCTATGAAGTGAATAGTCTGAGTTATTGGGTGTCGTTAAATGATCATTAAACTTTTTAACTGGTACAGATACAAAAGAATTTTTAATTAACTACGAAACAAATAACACTAATCAATATTTACTTACGTTCGAGATGTTTGTCTCACTTTATTAAATATCAGAAACCATAATTTATCTGTGTCAGGATAAGAAGTAGTTTGAAAGTCGAAAAATTACAACCGAAATACGACCGCTGCGTTATAGTTCATATTAGCAAAACTTAGCACTTAAATTTGATAGATTTGATATACTTAAATTTATGTCTAAATCGTATAATAATGTCTGTATCAAGCTAAAAGTAACGATAAGAGCTTACATACCTTAACCCCTAAACAGGCGAAATACTTCAGTTCCAAAAGCCACTATTAGATGGTTGACAATTAACATAAAGAGTAAAATGTTTATTAGTTAATTATTACCTAAATATAATCTGTTACAAATTAATTTTATACTTCAGATCTCGCAAACTTTGAGACAAGAAAGGTCTCGAGAGGTGGATGATGATGGTACACGGTAGACTAAACAAGTTTACTGATGAAAAATTTACTGCCAAGTTCGAGCTCTTACCTGCTGAGAGCTGATAAGATTGGCACTCACTTAGGACGAACAAAATATGTGCTTCATCAGACACAGTCCTGTGTAAATAAACGAGCAATTAAAAGCTAAGTTACTTACAGTATTACAGGGGATTATCGTCGTCTGCGCTTGCGTACTGAATTGCACAAGAAGAAATATATATGTCAACAAGACAGAAAGTTTTACTTCCCCGACTTACGTAAACTTTCCAAATGCTTTCGTTTTTATCCCCGAATTAAGTATAAGCTAAATAGGCTATAGCTTAGGGCACATAATCTTAAGAGGCCTCCACATACTAAGTATTTTTAACACATTGGTCACTTTTACGCAAAAAATTCCATTCATTCTAAAAACTAAGGTAAAATCAAGAGTGTCCCAAATGTTAATACATGTTGGAAGCAACATTATATAGTTCGTAAATTACTACATGTAATGAAAAAGTCTGTCCATGTTTATTATTATTTAGTGTTCTGTCTGACGACAGGTCCATATGAACAAGATCCTTGCATCCTTTTCTCGGACTGGGACCTGTTCATATACGTTCTTGGCAGATGATCCAGAAGTGGTTTGCCATTGCCTTCTTCTGTGTGTGAATGGAGTAATTGTTGGGATGCCACGGAGGAAAACTCCGTGTTGCCTAGACCACGGCCTTGCCCAACACAAGTTATAAATTCGGGCACCGCCGGGAATCGAACCCGAGACCCCAGGATTACAAGGCCAGCGTTCTAACCGCTAGACCACTGTGGCGGTTCTGTCCATGTAATTAACCAAATAAAATTATTTAAAGTTTATTAACAATCCTTTATCCATTTTTTATAACTTTTAAAGGGGCCTCATCCTTCACATGACTTGGGGTCTCCCAAGGAAGGAAAATTATGACCACCTGAATAACTATAAACTTCTTAATGAACCCCTAGGAATACAGCGGAAAGCTCTTATAATCACCGCGATTAAACTTTGAATTCTATATTTAGAGTTCCTGTACAAGACGAGTGATTAAAACGGTTTCAGGAAATTCCTTGCATCGAGGGGGATTTAGTTATCAAGATGAGTTGTCTAGATTAGGCTATTTTCTTATTTAAATAACAAGAAAGAATTTATCAACACTGCTGATAACAGTGGCTCGCACAAGAGAAGATGCTTCCTCAAGAATTCTACATTGATATCCCGAAATTATTTATGGTCGAAAGATGACTCTCTAATCGGTCGTTAGACATAAAACCCTGATCATGAACCGACTATCAATTGACGTTTCTGGTAGAAAGAAATCTAAATCAAGATTGTCAATAGCTATCTTTGGATGTCAAAACGTTATTCGTCATCGTTTCCACTTATCTTATCATCTTAATATCACCAAATGTGTGAAATAAACAGCGCTAACCTGAAGTTGTCTTCAATGGCATAACGTCCACACTAAATTTCATGAAAAACTGTCCACCGTACAGACAGATATCACGGATCATGACGGAATCAGGGGCGTGATACGTATGCACAAAGGATCATCGTATCGCCTCATGAATTTGGGCATTAGTCTCATCAGGATTTCCGACTGCTGAAAATAAAGGAATATGAGTTTGTAGGATTTGAGGTTTTCACAGCAGCGTGTCTGAATAATGTTGTCTTCTGGATTGTTGCGCCGTGTAGTCTGGTAGATTTCCGCCAGACTACATGGCGCAACAATCCAGAAGACTGCAATCTTCAGAATATGAGTTTGGAGTCGTGTCTTAGGTCCATTAAGACCACATTTCATGACAATCTGTCCACCCGTACTATAATTATTAAAAACGTATAGACAGGCATGGCGGGTGATGTATGTCAGCACTAACGATGACATCAACAAAGTGTCTTACGCAGGACGCGCAGACTTTTTTGTCGTCCCACTTCTCGACTTTGAGCGTCCTTCACATTGGCACTACTGACTGCGGGAAATTTAAAGTACTGTGGACTACACTCCAATCTATCAAATTTAATAAAATCCGCTGATCTATTACAAATTATTATTTGACTGAAACTTTAATTCGCAAGGCCACTATTAGACTGAAAGATGCAACAGACAGACATGGACGGTCTGAAGCGTGAAGAACACCTAAACATTTTCTGGCCCACGACATCACAAAAAATGGCATCAATATACCCCATCACTACAAGTTTCGCAAAGATAACATCTAACTGTTTCTTATTATTCATTATAATAATGTTGTTAGATACACGTAAATTATTATTGTTCGATTGTTTGTTCGAAAGTGCGACAAACTAATCATTCGATAGTGCCCATCACTGCAGCCAACGTAAATTATAACGTTGCCAACCATTTTGCGTGCATACAATGTGTTCACGTCGTGGACAAGTGAAAATTTAACAACTCTGTAAAGCAAGGCAATACACTTTAATTTTTAGTTTAATGTGTAATATAACAGGTAGGTCTGTTATATGTACGGGTTTAGTAATGAAGTGCATCGTGGTCTGTCTGATATATGAAAGAGTGGTTTTATTTTTAGGTTAGGTACACAGCTTAGGCCAACCACGTTCAAACGTAGAATGCATTCTGATATTGTTCCAGATTTTATCAACAAAAAATATGGGCCTGACAAAACAGTATCTGAGATATGTTGCGGCAGGAAACTTCAATATTATTGCAAGTGCAGGTTGCAATGCTGTATTCATCACTCTGGAGGGACAAGAAGGCAGATTTGTTGGAGTGGCTGCTTGTGAAGATATAATTATTTGGGACATGCGTCTTGGCGAAAAGGTTATAGACTATATTGCTGATAATATTCTGTCATCATTTACATGTCTGACATTTTTTTGCATTTTGAACATATCAGATCAATTGTCATCATGTTATGGCAACACATAAGATCAGTTAGAATAATGACTGGCTACGGAATGGACGACCAGGGCTCGATCCCCGACAGGGGTAGAGGATTTTCTCCTCTATCCTCTGCGTCCAGACCGGGTCTGGGGCCCACGCAGCCTACCATCCAGTGGGTACAGTGGTCCTTTCCCAGGGGTAAAGCATGGCTGGGGCTTGATGCTAAACACTCACCCCCACTTGGTGCTGAGGTTAAGAATGAGTAGGAGCTATACCAGCTCCCCCTCCCCAAATGTCAACATGGCATATGGTGGGACAGCTTTTTTTATGGCAACACATTAAGAATTGTATTATGTTCTAATTTATTTTATAAATTCAAAGGATTAGTTATAGTTTTAAACTCTTTGGTAATTTAGAAAGCTTTGTTTTATCATGTTCCTCCACACTGGCATCATTCTTAATGATATGGTAATGGAATCCTGGAAAGTAGTTCCAACATAATATGAAGGTTCTTCATGGGTAAAGTTGTTAAGTTATGGACTTCCCCACATCACATGCAGTTATTCTATTATTCTCATATAAAGGTGAGATGATGGTTAAGAACAACATATCAGCACACATGAAACATATATGACTAGCTCTTTATGTTGCCATACCATAGTTCTCTGGTGGTTAGATGTTATTGGTGTAATTCCAGGGTATTCTGAGTAGGATCTGTGTTCAGTGAAGTGGCACTGGGAACAGGTTTCTCTGAATACTTCAATTCTCCACTGTCAGTTATTCCACCAATGCTCCATGAAGATCTGTCACCACTCCTGATCCAGTAATGTCACAGTTGTAGTCAGTTTTCCACAGTTTCATGTGTGATGGGACTGAAGAAAGCAGAAATGTCTATTTTAATTTTTCATATATCTACTGAATATATTCTTTCATGTTTTTCAGGCCTTGGTTCTACCAGGAGATAAATATGGAGTAACATACCTGGCTTCAAGTCCAAATAAGAAATATTTGGCAGCAGGTTATTCTGATGGAACCGTCAAAGTTTTTGACTTGACATCTGGAGAGAATGTAACAAGTTTTTCAGGTCATCGAGGAGCTATTACATGTCTGTCTTATGATGCAGAGGGGCATCGGCTTGCTTCAGGAGCCCAGGCATGTGTGGATTTAAACATTAATCTTGGAGAATATAAAACTGTAATTGTTTCTAACTCTCTGACAATAAGTTCTTCCTTATTATTCAGATGTTATTATGAAGGCTTTACATTGTCACCACACATCTCTGCTATTGGGCCCTACTGAGTCAGTATAGCCCAATATCCTTCTATGTAGCGTTTCTTCCTTTTCTAAGTTATTTTTACACATACAATTATTGAAAGTGCTTTTAGTTTTGGAACATCCACATGAAAATGTTACACATCACATGCTCATTTCCTGCTTTATTTTGTTCTTGAATAGTGTCTTGGGAATTGTTTTGATAATGAATTTGTCTGTGTGAAGATTCACTTCAAAACCAGTGATCTATAATCTGTCTGTATAAAGTTTTCATATTACAGACTCCTGAAATTTGGGTACTCTGAAGATTTCAGTGTATAGACTTTAAAGCATTAACTTAGTACATTATCATATTCAAAAGTATAATATGTTATTTTTAGGACACAGATATAATAGTGTGGGATGTTGTGGCAGAAGCTGGACTACACAGACTAACAGGCCACAAGGGAACAGTGACCCAAATAAGCTTCCTTAAGGAGTACAATGTTCTGGTGTCAGGGTCAAAGGATACGTTTGTCAAGTTCTGGGACCTCGACACTAGCCACTGTTTCAAGACTCTTGTGGGACACAGAACAGAGGTAACATTGTATTTGTAATTTAATGTCTATGGAATATTTATATTACCATACTGCTGGGATAATTCTTATCCTCCACTGGGGAGAAGTTGCATGTAGTGATCCAAAATGTCAGGCACACCAGATTGAGAGGGCCAGTATAATTTGTGGTTTAAACTCATGTACTTTTTATCAGCATCAATATAAACATGCTCACTACAGTCAGCATTAAAATAAATTACTTGAAACAGATTTATACAGATGAAAGATGAATACAAAATAATTTAACATATTCAGTATTTTTAACTTTGTTGGAATCTTACAGAATGAATGAAACCATTTGTAATTCTTCTTGTATGTGTGATCTCTGTTCAATACTCATTTGTTTTTATCTTGCTGTAAGTGTTTTTGAGAATGCAAAATTGCGTTAATATTTTTAAAGAATGGTGGGATTTATTCAAGTACCTATTCTAGAATTAATTAGAATACAGCTGTTCAGGTGAGCATGAACTGTGTTCCAGGTCTGGGGACTGACTTTTGTGAAAGAGGACAAATATCTAATAACAGGCTGTGGAGACAGCGAGTTGCGAGTATGGAGCATCCTGCCTAAAGATTCATCTATTGAGAACTCTGAGAATGTAGAGAAGACGGTGCCTGATACAGAGGTCTTTTTGACTGGAGAAGATAGTGGTGATGTGGAGGGAATAGTGAGTAGCTGAAGTGGTATTTTCTTGGAAATGATAGTACATATGAAAAAATTCAAACAAAACCAATATCTTACAAACTTCTGTATGATAAGTCTGCCATGTCCTGACTAGATACAGAATTTCTAAATGAAAGTGGTTAAAATACCTAATTTTCATGTCCATCTAACTTCTAATTGTGCATATCACAATATGGTACAAAGTTAAGGACATTGTGGGTAGGGAAATATTTATTTATTTTCTCAATGTCATTATTTTAGAGATATGAAAATAACTAATAATTCAACATTCTTAATGTCTTTAACATGATCTGAACTGAATATATTTCTTTGTGTGGAATTTGCATTGCTTTCTGTTTTAAATATCCTGCCCTCTAAGAAACTTGAGTATCACCTTTATTCTAACCTGACATAAATTTTTTATTAAATGTAATTAAAGGTTTGTGTGTGTGTATATATATCTAGAAACCATGGCAAATATGGATATTTGGCAGGTAATACATTCAGAAGGCTTACTATGCCGATTAATGTACCTTAAATTTTCTAACCATCTACTTAACTGAATTAAGTGTTGTGTTTCCAGAGTCCACTCCAATGCAGGAAGGCTGGTTCAGTTCTCCGTTCTGCTCGTGGTCGAGTGACATCACTAACAGCTGACACAACGGGTCATGTTATTGGTTGTCATGGTACCGATGGAATAGTTGAATTGTTCCATTTCTGTTCTGACCAGGATGCCACTGCTCGCTTGAAGAAGAGGCAACGCAAGCAGAGGAAGAAAGCTGCAGAGTAACTTATTATAACCTCTTCTTAAATTCCTGAGAACAGGAAGCAGCTATCAGGGACACACAAAAAAAGTTTATATACCATCAGGAAGGGGGCAGGGGAGCTTCTGTCACTCTTATATATATAAAAATATTCTGTTTTGCTGCTGTAATGTTTTTTAACTGCTCAACAATCATTTTACATTGCCAAAAGTGTGCTTAATTATTGTTTAATCATTTTAGGAAAGAATAACCTGCCATTACAAATGCTTTCTTTCATAAGCTGAATGCAACTGCCTTTAGATTACATTGATGGAATATACAGTTCCGAAGTTGACACAATGGTGTACACTAGTACGAAGGTATCAGCTGTCAGAGCAACAACTAACAGAAATATGCAGTCTGTGCAATTCAGAAAAAGGCAGTGATTCATGGACAATAGAAGTTAGATTTTGGGCACCGAGTGGTAAAATATGGACTTCAGATAATTTAGAAGCTACATGCTTACCCAGTTAGGGCATGTGTATGGCAAAGGATTAAGGAGACACATTATTATTATTACATTTTGGAGAAAGTAATATTTGTTGCAGGGGTTAATTTGTCTTTCAATTACTTTTAAATGCAGTTATTAAGTATTGGTTTTGACTATTGTTTGGTGTGCTAATATAGCCACATACCCAATGCAGCAAAGGTAATTATAGACCCACTGGCCATTCTTTTATCTTAAATGCCACCAACAGAGTGAAGTGTCTAAATAGCATGCATATTGTGTCTGATCTAGCGCCAATGAAACAGTTCCTGATCAGGGACAACAGCCAGGATTGAAGGATGAGGTGCGGAGGCTGACTGCTATCAAGGTGACGGATTGCAAAGTGAAGTCTGTTGACCTTGTGATGGGAAGAGGAGGTGAACTCAGGGTATATATTATTTTTAGAAAAATACTATTACCACAAACTATGTTAACTAATAAATCCTCTCAGATTTTTCATTTCTGAGATGTCAGTATCAGTTTTTATAGTATTGCCTTCATAAAGATTATCAGAATGAAAAAATCTAGTTTCATTCAAATTTAGAATTACTGTGATTCAAATCTTCATATTATACAAGTTTATTATGACAATGTGTGAAGAATAAAATGGAATATACTAAAATCAAATATCTTTGCATTTGGCACTGCAGACATGGGTTAAGTAAAATATATGAAAGGAATGCATAATAAGGAGATTATGTCTCTATATCCATCTATCTGCTTGCATGTTTCATCTTAAACCCTATTACATTGGTTTCAGTAAAATTTGGTTTAGTGTTCTACACTGTATGGTGTTGGGTGAATTTAGTTTTTATCTCTATTGGCCCAGTGTGTCCCCTACTTTTTGTGAACCTGAAATGGAACTTCTCTGTATTTCTCTAAAAGAACTCAAATTGAAGAAAATAGCATATTATATAAAGTATGAGTCCTGTACATTTATTTGAAACATTTTTTGATGTGGTATATATTCACTGAAGTGAAAGAATTATTTATATTTTGATTCAATTCTATATTTTTACAGTTAATTAAACAGCTGTTGCTTATGCATTACTTCAAACAGAAACATTATGATGTACCATTGGCGATTTAAAAAATATTTAACTTGGTGGAATATATTCTTATGTAAGGTGATATTTTATTGCCTAATACTGAAGAATGAAAAATATCTCACCTGACTGGAGATACAACATATCTGAATCACAATTCTCTTAACAGGTAGCAGTGGTACTGAACAACAACAGTGTGGAACTCTACTCATTGCATGTAGCCGTAAAGGATGCTGAGAGCCGCTGCCTGCGCAAGATCAGTTCTCAGGGTCACCAATCAGAAGTGAGAGCTGTTACCTTCAGTTCTGACAATCTGGCTGTTGTTTCAGCCAGTGCTGAGTCTATCAAAATGTGGAACAGGTGAATTGGTTATTACAAAAGTTTAATTTTTGTATTATTGGCATTAATTTCTATCTACTATAACAGTGTTTAAAAAATCTTTATGTTCATATCTCACATATAACACTTATTAAAAGAATGATACATGTTCATATGTGAACTGTAAATTGGACAGGACTGTGGAGATACTTGCCATAGTCCGTTTTCAAGATACTGCTATTTTTAAATGAGATCAATAAGATTATTAAGCACAAAATAAATTTGCTTTCCAGACCATCAATGGCTTGTCTGCGAACAGTTAAAACAGGCTATGTTCTCAGTGTATGTTTTGTTCCGGGCGACCGCCATGTTATGGTTGGCTTGAAGAATGGCCACATGCTTATTGTGGATATTGCATCTGGAGATGTGCTAGAGGATGTTCCAGCTCATGACAAGGAGCTATGGTCCATCTGTCTCTTGCCAGATCAGGTATTATTTGTAGTTTCATAACAGCAGGTGTTGAACTCCTCTGAAGTGTGTTTAGAAAGTAGTGGCTGATTATATGCACTTGTATATTTCATCTTTTGAGATCCATTTTACTCTGAGATGGACTATAAAAAATGCTGGATTCTGGCTGCATTGAAAACTGGGATGTTTCCATTCCTTGTAGATTACTAATCCATGTACTCCGTAATTATCAATCCAATTCTTTTCCTTCAAATTCTTTCTTCCATCAACATGTTAATTCCCTGTAATTATTTTTTGCCAAGATCTCAGGTTCTCATGACAGTCGGTATGAAGATGCCTTCAAGGATGTCATGCCATGTAGTCTAGTAGAAACTGATATGTTTCAAAGGTAGCTTACTGCCTCCATACTATATGTTGCAACATCCCAGATGGTTGTCAGTCAACTTTGCACCATTTTTTGATCTCCCTATACCACCATTTAGTGCCAAAGGTTTCAGATATAATGTTTTATTATTTCCATATGCCCATACCTCACAATCACTTTATTGTATATCCTTTGCAGAATGGTTTCTTCTGTTTATTCTTTTCTGTTTCATTTCTGCTGAGCTCTTTATTGGACACAAAATGTTCAATATAATTTCAGCGTGGCTGTGTGTCAGGTGGATGTGATGCTACTGTGAAGTTTTGGCAGTTTGAGTTGATCACGGACCCCAGTAACAAAGAGAGCAAGGCCAAGATTTTGTCTGTTCTCCACACAAGGACTCTCAAACTGGAAGAGAATGTTCTTTGCGTCCGGGTGTCAGCCAACAACCGTTTTGTCGCTGTTGCACTCCTGGACTCAACTGTACAAATATTTTTTGTGGATACACTCAAGGTGAAGTCAAGAATCATAAGGGAGTATGATTTATGTTTTTATAATAACACGTAATAATTCGGGTTTACCTTATTTAATAGTTGTTTTTCTATTGCATATATTATACATTTTTGAATGAGTCGGAAAGATCATCAGATTAGGATCTTAAAAGTGCATTCACTTAAAGAGAATGGGGGAAAACAGTGGACACCTGTTAAGATAGCGAGTAAGCGGACTAAGTTTGAATCAGGTAAAACTGAACTACTGTTTGTCCCTGTGAAGTCAAAACATTTTGAATATAACTAATAATAATAAAAAAAAAATACCAGGACCTTACCATAATATACAGAGTTCACATTAGGCTGTAGGGCCTCCTCTGTCAGTGGTTGCCATCATCACCATAACATCTATTATCACAGCATGTGTTGTGTCCCTTGGATGCTGACTACATGGACTGCAGCCCTTGCACAAAATATCCTGACAAACAGAATCATTCATCTCTAAGAATAGAATGAAATACAGGAAGATTTATGGAGGGGGGGGGGGGGGGGGGGGAGAATTTTTTTTTTTTTTGGCAAAAAAAAAACAAAAAAACCACCC